GTGAAATCCCAGATCCTGTTTCTGAAATGGATTATTTTATGGATATTGGAGCTCCAAGCTTTCAAAATTAACCCTGAAAAAAATCACTTACAACTTAATCATATAGTCCATCAGCATCTCCCCTCACCTTCTCTTATCCAGACCCATCAGGAAAAAGTCATTTGATAGGATGTTACAAAGATTATGGTTATAAGAGACATTATTAAATAATTCACTGCATCACAATATGCTAATAGATTTTCTTCACATATAGGTCCATTGAGGAATCCAGTTTTAACATTGACTTTTATCTGGAATTCAGTATTTCTACCAGTAGCAATGAAACATAACATAGCATAGAATAAAATAGTATAATGTACCCATCCCTGGAGAAGAATATCAAGTTTGGTGAAGTGAAGGGCCAGAGAAAAAAAGGAGACTCCCCCCACCCCCCAAAAAAAAATGGATTGGCACAGTGGGAGCAGCAAGGGGCTCAGGTGTAGCAATTATTGCAAGATTGACACAGGACTGGACTGTTGTTCATAGGGTTGCATGAGTCAGTATTGACTTGATGGCACCTAACAACAAAAACATCTTAGATATTCAAATGTTATTAGTTACTATGATACTTCATGTCTTTTCTAAAGCCCATGTGTATAATTATTTAAATTTTTATTTATTAACAACATAATTTGAATGATAATAAAAGTAAGCAATATTTTCCTATGTCATTAGAAAAACTGACTTCAATTTTTTTATACCTTTAAAACTGAATCAAATCATTTAAACAAACAATAACCTTCCTCCATTTTCTGTTTGGTGCTTAAATATGGTAAAATCTAGCCAAGCATCTAAGTCAGATAAGATAGTCCATCATTAAACTCCTGATTTTGTAATTATCAAGACATGCATTCAAGATTTATGCTTACCATGCATCAACTACATAAACTGAGTGAGTTACATATCCTCTTTGGGCATAGTTTTTGCTTCACAAAATGAGGTCAATAATACACTATCTTATAGGTACTTTGGAATTTATGGGGGTTTGGGATAAAGGAAAGCAGATATAATAGTTGTAATAATTATTGTTATTAAGTGCTATCGAGTCAGTTCTGACTGATCGTGGCTGGTGCGTCTGAACTGCTGACCTTATTATTAGCCATCTAGTGCTTATCCTACACCACCACACCAGGACTCCAATTATAATAATGTTGTTGTTTTTAAGGGCCATCAAGTCGGTTCCAACCCATAGTGACCCTGTATAGGGCTTTCAAGGAGCAACTGGTGAGCTTGAACTGCCGACCTTGCAGTTCAAACGGCTTTGCAGTCTGGCACAAAAAGTTAATGGTGAAAGTGGTTTAATAAGTCAGTGTGAATCTATCAAAATTATTTTAAATGCTGCTTTAAATATAAACAATTTTTACCTTAAAATGGATTTATTTTTTGAAACATCTCATATTTTACAATACATAAGGCAGTGTTTCCTTTGAATACCAATTTTAGCTTATATTACCACTAAAACATTGTATAAAATATGGTGTCTTATTATAGTCCTTAAACTGCTTCAGAGATTAGCTGTCAGATTTCTAAATAATTAAATCTATTCAAAGTGCATTGGCATCCCCATAGGAAAACAAAGAATCTTTAATCTTTGAGGTGGCCATCATTTTATGTCTAAGAACAGAGAAACCTATTTTTTTTTTATAATAGATAAAAAAAATTATTTAAAAAGTAATATAAAAAGAATAAAGGAGTCTTCACATTTAGGATCAATCCTATCCCCTTTGTATACAAGGTAGATAAGGATAGGCAACTTAGACATTGGCTACCTAAAATGGAGTTGCTATAAAGGCATGAAGTGATTGTCTTGCAAGTTTTCAAGAAGGAGCTTAGTTTTAGAGGGTACTGGGAAGGCAGGATCCCCACTGAATAGTATTCATCTTGTCTAAATAGATGTGGTGAAAAGAGATGAGGAAAATATTCTTATGATTCAATAGTGAGTAATTGTTATCATGACTAATTGTGACTGTCACAACTGAAAAGGTAGAAGTTTTGTAACTAAAAGTATTGGAGGGAGTTAATCTTACAGCCCAGGATCAGAGGACCCTAGGACCATCAAGGAAGAAGAGCATGAGCGGAATGTGGGACCCTATACAGAGAAGCAGCCACACCAGAGATGGAGACAGAGATGAGGGCATGGAGAAATAGAGCAGCTAAAGACTCCAGACTTATTAAAAGAGAAAGGCTGTGTGTTGGTGGCCAGGTGTTGATGGCCAGGGGGCAGGCTTGCAGAATGTGTCCTTTAGTTATTTAAAGGATTATATACTCCTGAGTGTTTTTGTGTACATCCCAAAAAATAAACAAACAAACAAACAAAAAAGAGGCAATAGAAGCAAATATTGTTGAATGATGATGCACAGAGGAGATAGGAACACAAAAATTTCAGACATTAATGTCAAAAAGTAAAAATAAATGTTTGATTTGCTTAGGAAGATACATTTCTCTTTAGTCATTCTGTTGTTTTTTTTGCTAATAAAAAGAACTCAAGGAATACCATTCAGAAAAATCAGGAAAATATAAAAAGACAAGAATGTAAAATAAACTCATAAAAGAAATTTGGGTTCATTCAATTAATATGATGACAGTTTTCTATGTTTTGAAATCAAAACATAACAATTGCAATTCAAGTTAGTAAATATATCAAGAATTCATTAATTAAATTTAAGGATAATGTAAGATATGGGAGACTAGTAGTGACTGATCTCATTGACTTAAAATATTTGTGAAAAGTCTTAAGGTTTAAAAGAAAGGTAACAAGAAGAGAGTGAAATATGCTGTTATTATTGTTATTAAGTGCCTTCAAGACAGTTCTGACACATGGAGGTCCCATGGAGCAGCTGTTGGGCTTGAACCACTATCCTTTCTGTTAGGAATCCCGTGCTTATCCTAAAAGCATCTCATTAGTATATTAGAGACAACATTTAAAAGGCAACTGGCCAGGGCCATAATTAATTAAGGAATTAAAATAAATAAATTGAGACATATTAATCGAGGAATTAAATAAATGAGACTTGGGGAAACCTGTGCATGAAGAATTCATTGTCTTTGCAAACAACAATGAAATATTTTCTTTTTCTTTCTTTCTTTCTTTCTCTCTCTCTCTCTCTCTCTCTCTCTCTCTCTCTCTCTCTCTTTCTTTCTTTCTTTGGATGGCAAAGCCACAAAGAGTTGTTTTATTAATTTTTATGCACAGATCCCTAGTTGAATTTTTCTCTTGTTGAATCATTCTCTGAGTTATTCATGATTTTATTAGTATCCCTTTTACTTTAGATTTTTGACTCTCGTACACTTTAGTAGTGTAGTGGTTACGAATCGGGCTGTGAACCTTAAGGTCAGTGGTTCGAAACTACCAGCCGCTCTGCGGGAGAAAGATGAGGCTTTCTACTCCCGAAAAGATTTACACCCTCGGAAACCCTGTACAGGGTCGCTATGGGTCAAAACTGACTCAACGGCACTTAACAACAACAACAACACTTTAGTATATTTTTATTAAAAGTTAGAAGCCACACATTAGCTACATTTTATTCTACTTGTAATCGTAGGTAGTTTTAATACTTATATTAACAATATTCTTAAGACTGCTAGGAGACAGGATTTGTCAATTGAATTACTACCAGCTTAGGTTTAGTGATTGTAAACATTCTTCCTTGTAGCCTTAGTTTAAGGCAATAAAGAATCCCACAGCCATAAATAAGGGCTGTGGGTACAAGAATTCCTAAAAACAATTAGATAAAGGCTATGGATATATACAGATACTAAATAAAGAGTCTGACTTAGACTTTCTTAAATTAATGATCAGTAAATTAGAGAAGTTGTTTTTCATAACCTCAGTTTCCCTGATAAGTGATGTTTTTGTAGGCTATAAACAGATAGTGTATGGAAGAAGTTAATGGAGAGTTAATTGCACCCAACAACTAAAATTAACAAGACTTAACAGACAAGGGTTAAGAAACATATGTGAAGGTTAACTTGCTTCTCAGAGAAAAGAATAGATTTATGGAGGAACAAATGTTTAACTAAAAGATTTCAAGGCACCTGAATGTCTCTTAAGCCTTGAGATAATGTCTTTGCTGTAACTTCTCATCCCTGTTGTAAATTTAAGAATTGTAAACCATAAGGAATGTGCCCCAAGATAGATTGTACCTTGATGTCATTGATTACTATGAAAGCAATGTTTTCTGTAATGGTATATAAGGGGGTTGTAAGATAGAACAAAGAGGTGAAGAAGAAGGGAAGAAGGGAAGATGGGAAGTAGAAGAATGGGTGGAAGAAGAATTAGAGGCAAGAAGTAGAGGTAAGAGTAAGTAGAGGAAAATAGAATGAGACAAGAATGGAGGGAGGGGAAGCTAGTAAAGAAACAGAAGAGATGAGCAGGAGGGGAGCAGGAGAGGAGAGAAGGAAAACAGGAGCAGTGGAGGGGAGAAAGGAAGCAGAAGAGATGAGCAGGAGAGCAGGGGAGTAAAGAATGAGCAGGGCAGTAATGAATGAGAGAAGTAGAGTATTAGAGTAGCCATAGAAATAATAATAATAAAGCATGTAATAAGATTTTAAATTTATCATGACTCATGACTCCCTGTAATCCTTATCGCCGACGTCCGCACCCGCCTTAGGAAAAACCCTGGAATAAATATGCCGGGACAGGCTCTCGGCAGGAAATCATTTCGAATCAGTGCTATGAATGTAGCCTGAAAAATTGAAATTATACCTATATTATTTTTAAATCATAAACAGCATTAATCTTATTTTATAAATATTCTGAATACATTTACCTTAAACTGCACAAAGAATATTCCTGGAAATTTCCTTTGCAGTTTTAAAAACCATATGACAAAATTATATATATTCCTCTTTTTGTAGTCCTGGTGTGGCACTGTAGGTGGGATAAAGCACTGTGCCATAAGGTCAGTTTGAACCACAAGGTCAGCGATTTGAACACACAGACTGTTTATTGGAAACCCTATACAGCATGGTCCTCATGAGCTGGAACTGAGTTGATGGCACTTAACAACAACAGCAAAAACACACATAGGATAAGAACTGGATTGTTAACCACAAGGCCAGCAGTTCAAACCCACCAGCTGTTCCTTTTTGTTGTTCTTAGGTGCCATCCAGTTGGTACTAACCCATATCAGTACCGACTAATTGTGACCCTACGCACAATAGAATGAAACACTGCCTGATCCTAGGCCAACATCACAATTGTTGCCATGCTTGTGCCCATTGATGCTGCCACTTTGCCAATCCATCTCACTGCAAATCTTTCTCTTTTTCTCGGACCTTACCAAATATTATATCCTTCTCCAGTGACTGATCCCTCCTGACAATATGTCTGAAGTGAGAGATGAAGTTTGCCCATACTGGCCTCCAAGGAGCACTCTGGCTGCACTTCTTCCAACACAGTACTGTTGGTTCTTTTGGTAGCCCATGGCACTTTCAATATGCTCCTCTAACACCATAACTCAATAGCATCAATTCTACGGTCTTCCTTATTCATGGTCCAACTTTCATATTCATATGAGGTTACTGAAATTACCATGGCTGTGGTCAGGCTCATCTTAGTCCTCAAGTAGACATCTTTGCTCTTCAACACTTACAAAAGGTCTTGTACAGCAGATTTGTCTAATGCAATATGTCATTTGATTTCTTGATTTCTTCCCTAAGTGTTGATAGTTGATCTAAGAAGATTGAAGTCCTTGATAACTTCAATCTTTTCTCCGTTGATAAGAATGTTATTTATTGGTCCAGTGGGGAGGATTTTTGTTGTCTTTACAATGAGATGCAATCCATATAGAAGGCTGTGCTCTTTGATCTTCATTAGTAAATATTTTATCTTCTTTACTTTCAGCAAGCAAGGTTGTATAATTAGCATATCATAGGTTGTTAATGAGTCTTCCTCCAATCCTGAGGCCATGTTTTTCTTCATATAACCCAGCTACAAGGGAGTACCTGAATACTTTGTGCTGTTGTTGGTAAATGCCGTCAAGTCAGTTCTGACTCAGCAATCCTCTGTAGGGTTTCTGAGAAGCAGCTGGTGAGTTTGAACCACTGACCTCGTGGTTCTAACTGACACTGCAGGTGAGTGGTCATCCAGTCAACTATTCTTACACCCTCTTTTTAACACCTTTTCTCCTAAATATTCCAATCTGTTAGTACCTAGATTCTCTGTTATTTTTCAGGTCAAAGGACCCACAGTCCTTATAATTCTTCCTTTTGTAAAATTATATTTTGAAGACTCTTCTATAAACTATAAAGATATCATTGTTGATTTTAATTTTGAGAGTTTACCCCAAAGGTTGATGAATAAATTATGAAAATCAAGATAATTATTTTACCTTTGGGCCTTGTCTTCCTGGATATCCTGGTAGACCTGGAACACCAAGTTTTCCCTAAAGTTAAAAAAAAAAAAAAAATTATAGAATAGATAAGCAAATGTTCTAAGCTGTTTGATGTTAAGTAGAAATAATTTTGGTGATCTGTTTTTCTAGAAGTTAGAACTATATATTTTCAAACTCAAGAAGAAAATTTTTAAGTTCTAACCAAACTTTACTTTATTTGCATTTCTTCATTGAAACAGAAAAATAAAATGATATGGACATATGTCTACTGCTATGATATTAGTTAACATGTCCTGTGTTATATATGTTATAGGACCTTCTTTTGGGACATAGAATCCACTTTATTACTCTAAAACATGACAAAATTAAAACCTAAGCTTGTTTAATATTAAAATACAACTTAAAGATACTTGTGGTTGGAACTATATGTAGTAGATATTATTATTTCAATGATTGTAATATTTATGTAAAGTAATTTATAAATGTCTAACTGTTGAGAACTAGTGACAATTTTTGTGGAGTGCTAGCATCTGCATATAAATATTTGAATAAAATATTATTTTGTTCCAGTGCAATGATTTTACTCCTCAGTTTGAAAATGCAATGATTTTACTCCTCAGTCTGAAAGTACTAAAACAAATTTAAAACATATTTAAACTATAATGGATTGAAACAATGTATACCAAAATCCAAGAAGTTCAAAAACCTATATCTATTTGACAGCAAAGCATGAATACAAACTTGGTTAGTTGGAGAGACAATAAAGTAAACAATGAATAAAACATGTGAAATTTTTACTGTACTTTATTTTTTTAAAGATATTTATTTTTAAAACTTCATGAATATTATTTACAAAAATCTTAAACATTACCATGCACATCATACCTTATTCCTTAAGTATATGTAAATTGGATAGAATTAAACAAAACACATTGACATTATGGTATACAATCATAAAAGCTGAGCAGTACTTTGTGAGCAAAAATAATAATTTGACTGGATGAAGTAAAAAAAGTGAATAACCTACTTAGTTTATGTCTTGGTTATTATAAATTGAACCAAAGTTATATGAGTCAGGATCAACACTGCATAGGTAAGCAGTCTTTAGATGGAAATATGCAAATAAGCCCTAAGAAGCATACTCCTAATTATGTCCCCTTGGATACATTATGTTCCCATTGCTTATTTTATGCCATCAGTTTCAAGGTTAATGAAATTCCCTAATTATATCACAAAGTTATTTTTGTTCTTCATTAATTACTATATACAACTGTATAGTCTTTCTCATTTTTAAAGTCAGTTAAAAATAAATCCTCACAGAAAATTATTTGTGTTCTCAATATGCAGGATTGCAAATTTAATATTTTAATAAAAGATACTAATGAAATGTAAAAGAAGAATATTGAGGTAGCTTTAAACTTCAGAAGCCTCTGAAGAAGAGTGGAAGTACCAGAATAGCAGAAATTGGATACAATTGAACACTTCACATGGAAGTGTCAAAGGCTCTTGCAAGCCCTTCATATTTACCTCTAGCAGGCTGGCCTTTGTCAAAGGCCTCTGAAAAAAAACAATACAATTGGGCTACATAGACCACACCCTGGTGATTTGTACAGATGAGTAGGAAACATTCTAGAGTAAGCCAATACTGAGAGTGTGGATTTGCAGATAAAACTGAGAAATACTAAAGATTGAAGGAGTTTCTGCAGTATAGAATCCTGGAAGGAGAGCTTCCTGAAGAGAGACAAATTCTTCCTTCATATCTCTTTCCAAACTTCATTCAAGTACCTCTAATTGTTGCTCCTAAATTACTCCTGAGATATATCCTGTCCTGTTCTCCTGAACTGTATCCTGTCCCTTAGTAAAACCCATAACTATAAATACAATCTATAAATTCTGTGTGGCATTGCAGTGAATTTAGCAGAGACAGTGTCCTGGGGAAGGGAGCAGCTAATGTCACGGACAAATTACAAGGTGGGCAGTTCAAATCAACTAGCTGCTTTTTGGAAACCCTATTTAGGGTCATTATGAGTCAGAAACAACTCAATGAAACTTAACAGCAGCAGTATACTCATGGTGGAGGTGGTGGCATGCCATGGATTCAGTGACTCATAGCGGACCTGCATAGGGTTTCTGAGGCTGTGAGTCTTTATGGGAACAGAAGCCTCATCTTTTTCCCGTGGAACAGCTAGTAGTTTCGAAGTGCTGACCTTGAGGTTAGCAGCTCAACTAGTAGCCACTCCATGGGACTAGATTTGTGGTATTCTTATTTGCTTTAATTCACAAATAGAAATCATGACTATATGTTAGAAGAACTGCTATATCAAAAGATTCACAAAGATATGAGAATTTATTTTTATTTATTTATTGCCTAGTCACAATCGATATACAAGGGACATAAAAAAGTTTATGGAAAATGGTATTAGAAAATAAAAATATAAAATATGAACTTTAACCAACAAAGCGAACTTACAGTCACCCAAAGAAAATAAATAATAAAAATAAGAGCAAAATAAATTAGATGGAAAATAAAAACTATAGAAAGAATCAACAGGACAAGAAGCTGGGTCTTTGAAATGATTAATAAAATTGACAAATCTTTGGCAAACCTAACAAAAGAAAAGAGGGAGAAGAAACAAATAACTCGCATTAGTTACCACACAGGCAATGTCACAACGGAACCAAACAAAATAAAAAGGAAAATAACAGAATACTATGAAGAGTGTTACTCCAACAAATTAAAAAAAAAACTTATAAGAGATGAATGCATTTTTAGAAAAAACACGACCTACCAAAATTTATACAGAGTGAAGCAGAAAACTTGAACAGACTGATAACAAAAGAAGAGATTGATCAGGTCATCAAAAAATTCCCAACCAAAAGAAGTCCAGGCCCAGATGGCTTCACTGATGAGTTCTACCAAACATTCAGGGAAGAGCTGTCACCAATTCTACTCAAATTATTCCAGAATATAGAAGAGGACAGAAAACTTCCTAATACTTTTTATGAAGCAAGAAAACCTTCACATCCAAACCAGGGAAGGACATCACTAAGAAAGAAAACTATAGACCAATATCCCTCATGAACAGAGACGCAAAAGTTCTCAACAAAATCCTAGACAACAGAATCTAGCACCACATCAAAAAAAATAATACATTATGTTCAAGTGGGTTTCATAAAAGGGATGCAAGAATGGTTCAACATTAGAAAAACAATCAGTGTAATCCAACACATAAATAAGAAAAATGAAAGGAACCACATGATCATATCGATTGATGCAGAAAAGGTATTTGACAAAATCCAACATACATTCCTGATAAAAACATTCAACAAAGTAAGAATTGAAGGGAAACTCCTCAACATAATCAAGAGCATATATACAAAACCAACAGATTACATCACCCTCAATGGAGAGAAACTGAAAGCCTTTTCACTGTGAATGGAAACTAGACAAGGATGCTTTTGTCACCACTCCTATTCAATATTAGGCTGGGAGTCTTAGCCAGAGCTATACGGCAAGATAGGGAAATTAAAGGCATCCAAATTGGCAAAGAGGGAATAAAACTCTCTCTATTTGCAGATGATATGATCCTATACATAGAAAACCCCAAAGACTCAGTAAAAAAAGCAACTAGACATCATTGGAAGATTCAGCAGAGTGGGGCAGGGTATAAGATCAACATATGAAAATCAGTTGGATTCCTCTATCGTAACAATGCCAGAGCTGAAAAGGACATTAGGAAAGCAATATCATTTACAATAGTCACCCAAAATACGAAATATTTAGGAATAAACGTAACTAGAGAAACAAAGGACCTATACCAGGAGAATTACAAAACACTACAACATGAAACCAAGACACTTACAAAAGTGTAAGAACATAACATGTTCCTGGATAGGAAGACTCAACATCGTGAAAATGTCAATACTACCCAAAGCAATTTATACATATAATACAATCTCAATCCAGATTCCAGCAACATTAATGAAAGAGATGGAAAAGGCAATTACTAACTTTATATGGAAAGGAAAGAGACCAAGGATAAGCAAAGCACTGCTCAAGAAGAAGAACAAGGTTGGAAGCCTCTCACTCCCCAATTTCAAACTCTACTATACAGCTACAGTGGGCAAAACAGCCTGGTACTGGTATAATGAAAATACACTGATCAATGGAACAGAATCGAGAATCCAGATACTAATACAGCCAACTGATTTTCTACAAAGTGCCTAAGTATGTTCAATGGGAAGGAGATAGTCTCTTTAACAGAGGGTGCTGGCAGAACTGAAAAGTGATATGCAAAAGATTGAAACAAGACCTTTACCTCATGTCCTATACAAACACCAACTCAGCATGGATTAAATACCTAAATCTGAGTTCCAAAATTATGAAAGTCATCAATAAAAAATTGGGACAAATGGGAGGGCTCTAATACAGGGAATACACAGACTATAAAACATTTTGAAAAGTACACAAACAAAAGTAGAAAAATAGATGAGTGGGATATAATAAAATTCACCAAAAGAGTAAAAAGGGAACCCACAGAATGGAAAAAAAATATATTTTGCAATGACACATCAGACAAGGGACTCATTTCTAAAATATACAGAAAACTACACATCTCTACAAGAAAAAGACAAATAACCCAGTTAAAAAATGGGCACAGGACATGATCAGACACATGACCAAAGAAGAGGTCTGGGCAATCAACAAACAAGAAGAAATGTTTGCGATCATTAGCCATTACAGAGATGCAAATAAAAACAATGAGATAACATCTCACACCAGTAATAACAGCAAAGATCAAAAAAGTAGAGGACAATAAATGTGGAGAGACTGAGACCCTCCTACATTGTTGGTGGGATTGTAAAATAGTCCAATCACTCTGAAAAGCAGTATGGCACTTCCTTAGAAGATTGGTAATAGAAATACCTAATGATCCAGAAATTCCTCTACTTTGTATTTACCCACAAGAAACACGAACCATAACATGAATAGATATATGCACACCAATGTTCACAGAAGTACTATTTACAGTTGCAAAAAGATGGAGATA